CTTTTGGGACATCTCGATGACGTGATAAGGAGCTATATCAGTGCAAGGATTATTATATTCTTATTACTATAACTAGTATTAAATGAACGCAGAATGTCTGGCAAAACATCAGCCAGAAAGTTAGGTTTTCTGGTACCTCAAATATAATTCTTACAAGAACTCCCGTGGGGAGGGGGAGGTGGAGCTGAAACAGCCGTGACAATATTAATTAGCTGTAGATTCCTCGAAAGATTTGGATCATCTTGAAACTCAAAGCCAGATGTATTTACGGGACAGACTCGAGAGAATAACGAGATGTGTTTGGTAAACTTGCAACCCAACACTCGTGCTTTTATGTTTATTGATGAAAAGCTTTCTCCATTTCCATTTTTATCTTCCAGAGGTCAGATCGTTCTGTGTAAAAATGCAAAGGAAATTCACAGGGAAACAAAAAGAATGGATTTAACAAGCTCTCGCTGTTACAACCGGTTCCGTCCTGACTGTCTCGGCATTTTCCGCTGGCTTTAGAGTGAGCGCACATCACCACAAAAGAGCTGCAGGCAAGGTCTCTCAAAAGGCTGCAGCTCCAGACGTTAAGGCGGTATCAAACTGAAACTTTAAAAATAATAATTTGGTCACTCAATCCACGACTGTTTGCGGGACGCTGCCGTGCACAATTGGCTGCCCACAAAATATACAGTCAGTTCACTTTACAGCAATGCCCTGTGAAGCGCTTTGAGACGTCCGGAAGACGTGATGAGACGCTGTATCAAATGCAAGGATTATTATTATTATTATTACTGTGTCAGGAACTGGGATGGTTCGTAACCATCCATTGATACTGATGTGCAATTGAACCACTCTGACTTAAGAGTTCCACTAAAAGTGCAACCATTTAGCTTAAGTACAGAGCGAGAGAGAGAGAGAGAGAGACTGTCTGCCTCAAGGAGGTAGAGCCACAGCAAAGCAGGGCAAAGACGTGTGTGGGGGGTGGAGATATAAACTTTAAAATAAAGTTGAAATAAGTTCTAAGGAAATGGACTGAACCACCAATACATTTTTAATGTGATTGAAGTACAGAGTGTCCCACTGGCCCTCCACGAGCATTAAAAATTGAACTGTATAAGTGCACGAGTGAATGAATAGCCGTGAATGAGCTTCTACTTTGCTTAAGCAGCCCGAGATGTGAAGGCGCTCCTTTGCCCGCTCTCCCGCACGCTGCAATTTTTATTTATTTATTTCTCTTCTGGGGTCGGCCGGGCGTCTGACACGCGCGGAAACCCATCACCGCGCTCCAGAGTCTCCAAACCCAAGCCGAGATTTCTTGCCGTATTCTTTCTCATGGTATCTGAGATGTCTCAACCTTGTGGTAAGGCAATATATCAGATGCAAGGATTATTATTATTATTATTATTATTATTATTATTATTATTATTATTATTATCCACACACGGAAATCCCAAAGATTGATGGCCTGCACTTCTCTCCTCCTATCCGCGCACACAGACGCGGAGACTGCAGGAGAACCGAGGCTTTCACATCATAGAATATTACAGCACGGAAGGAGGCCATTCGGCCCATAGAGCCTGTGCTGGCTCTTGGGAAGAGCTGCCCAATCAGTCCCACTCCCCTGCTTTTTGCCCACACATCTTTGCAAATCTCTTTTACGGATCCGATTATTTTTGGCTCACGTTTTTTTTCTATTTTTAAAATGATTAATTAAGGAAATCTAACAACCACTGTACTGTACTGTACTGTACAGCGAGTAAAGACGGGTAAAGTTTACCACGGCAGGGATCGGGCTTGGATACACACTGCGTGTTCAATTATTGTCTCTGAAAAACAGTTCACAAGCAGACTTTTTCATTCCTTGCCTTCCAATCCATCACTGTCCAAGTCTCAAACCAGTTCTGTTTGGATTACCGCCCTACAGCCATCATTCCGCTGCTTTTTAACAATAATCGTAATAGTCTTTGCATTCAATATAGCACCTTATTATGCTGTTGAGACGTCTCTGAGCGCTTCATCGATTACACTGTAAAGTTAACTGACTGCGCATTTTGTGGGCGAAATGCGGCAGAGCTGTGCTTGCCCGGTTGGGTTGTGGTCAGCGCCTTGGGACGTCCTCCTGACGTGAAAGGCGCTCTATAAATGGAATCTTGTTGTTGTTGTGGTGGTGGTACCTGGGATCCGAATGGCTCCCAGACCCTCACACCTTTACATCCCCTCTATCGAGGCAAAGGTGGAAGGCTGACAAGACAAGAGACTTGCATCCAGACCATGGAAGTACAGACCTTTACACTTTCACTGTAGAGAGACACAGAGACAGAGAGACACACACACACACACAGAGATACACAGATATAACTACAGCGAAATAATACGACTGATGCAAAGCACATCTCTGAGAGATGATAACATCATCTCCAAGTCTTCGCAACACCCAGCAACCGCGCATTTTGAGGCGCTTCCCCGAGTTAACGTCGCTGTAGGTTACCAACGATCATCAGTGACAGCGTAACTGGTCCAGGTTTGATCTGACGGGGCTGTGACTGACAGTACGACCTCCGGGTACTGGGTCCCAATTTGGGAGTGTCTCATTTTTATATCACTATATATTTGCAAAAGCATCGTCGGGTGAGTGTCTGCACAGGGGCTCTCTTTGGTCCTGAATAAACTGGCGTTCGGATAGCGTAGTTCAGAGAGAAATACACACACACACACACAGACAGACAGACAGACACACACACACACAGACAAGAGAGAGAGTGAGATAAAGAGAGAGCCAGGAGAGATAGAGACACAGACAACAGAGAGAGACAGAAAGAGAGATAGAGACACAGACAACAGAGAGAGACAGAAAGAGAGATAGAGACAAGAGACACAGAGATAGAGACACAGAGAGAGAGAAAGACACACACAAACACATAGAGAGAAACTGAGAGACAGAGAGAGAGAGAGAGAGAGAGAGAGGATAGCAGAGTGAGGAGCAGGACTGACCAGGCATGTTCTTTCCTAACCCGCTTTGAATGAAACGCTGTAGTCATCTGTCAGCCACACACGGTGTGGTTGGCGGCGGTTTGGATACATTGGGGGGAGAGAAATAAGGAACCGCGTTGGCATTTAGTTTATAAGAAAGAAAAAAATATTTAAGAATATAACATCGAACGAGACTGATCTGTTGCCTTTCCCGGCGCGAATGGTTGTGTAAATGGCATTGCCCCCCATAGAGGGAAAGGGGTTGCTTGGGGGAGGGTAGAGTACCCCCTTTTATTTCCCAACCCACACAGAAGCAATTCCGGATAACGTTTTGAAGACTGTGATCTCTATATATTTTTTTACACGCACACACACCTCACTGCTTGTCAGTGGAAGGAGAAACAGCCAACCTGCCCGTAGCTTAATACATCAGATATATACTAAGAATAATCCTGGCCCCCTCCGCGTCGCATCTTTGAGACGTCTCAAAGCGCTTCACGGGATGTATTGTCACGTCAAATCGACTGTGTATTTTGTGGGCGAAACCCGGCAGAATCCAGTATTGCCTCTAACATTGTTAATAACGAACGGATTAATTACCGATAAGGTTAATATTTACCGTTAGCCATCATTAATATGATTAAGCGTTTATTGGGAGGCTACGATTAGTCGCTGTGGTGTTGTGAAAATACGGTTTAACCCGGGTAAAACCCACACCACAGCAAATGATTTGACTCTTGCACAGATTCACTTTGCAGTCTATCCCTCGAAGCGCTTTGAGAAGAGTCTCAACGACCTGATAAGGCGCTGTATAATAATATTAATTATATATCAAACGCAAGGATTATTATTAATCCTATTATTATTATTATTATTATCGTTATTGTCCTGGTGAGCCGGGAGGGATTGCCTGCCACTCCTTGGGATCTGGTTACGGTCCGTCTGGAGCTGAGGATTCGACGGGTTATTTTCGTTCCGGGCGCTTTGGCTGCCTTCATTCTCTCGTCGTTCAGAGAGTCACAGATCCCTGTCGTGTCTCCACGCAAGTCCCCGAGACCACGTGACATCCTGGAACTTGAGAAAGGGAGAGCGTCGAAGGCTCGCTTAGGAAAGGGGAGACGGACGGACGGACAGAAACGAGAGAGGGATCCTATCTGCTGTCGATTCCCCCCTTGTTGTCAATCTCAGTGTCAACCCACCACCTCGTCCCTCAGAGACTGAGCCCCCCCCCCCACCCCACTCCCCCCTCTCTCTCCCCCATCCCCAAGAGGTCAGTTCAGTCAAGTCACACTTTGGCCCCCGTGATTGATTTCACTCCACAGATCGACTGAGCGCAAGTGGTCGCCGCGATTCTCCCCCCCCAGTCGTTTCGCTCGACGGTGTACGGTGTGTTCTGCGAAGGGGTTTATTTTTGAGACGTCTCGACGGCGCGTGATAAGCTGCGGGCGGCCTCGAATAGCAAGGATTATTATTATTATTATTCTTGTTATTATCATCGGCATCGTCGTCATTTGCCCTCGGGGAGGCGAGGGCTATCGGCTGCCTTTTGTTTGTCGGAGGAAAGGCGGCTTTACAGCCGGAGTCGGTGGGAGCAGAAGGAATTTGGTTCTAAATGGTTTCTTTGGAACACTTTACAGTGAAACAGCTACTAATTCACCCCCTCCCTTGACACACACACACACACATTTGCGTTGCCATTTGCTCTTTCTTACGCTTGTGAAGGGTTGCATCTCCTCTCTCGCTCTCTCTCTCTCTATCCCTCTCTCTCTCTCTCTCTCTCTATCCCTCTCTCTCTCTCTCGCTCTCTATCCCCCTCTCTCTATCACTCTCAGTCTGGAGCTTTTGGGAATAAAGTGACGAGAAGAAGAAGAAGGCTCTCAGGTGTTCTCTCCCAAGTTAAGAGACGGAAGGAGGGAGAGACAGACACAGAGAGAGAGAGAGAGAGAGAGAGAGAAAGAAAGAAAGAAAGAGAGAGAGAGAGAGAGAGAAAGAGGAGAAGTGGGGCTGTGGATAGGAGGCGGGATGGGATGTGATCCTGGGAGATGATGTAAGAGTCACTTCACAGCCGCTTTTCTGGCAGAGATGTGACAGAGAGAGGGAGGGAGGGAGAGAGAGAGAGAGAGAGAGGGAGGGAGGGGAACTGGAGGAGAAGAGAAGGAAGAGAAGAAGAAGGAGAGGAGGAGAGTGAGTGAGTGAGAGAGAGAGAGAGAGAGAGAGAGAAAAGACACACACACACACACACACACAATTCTCATTCATCGGCAGGAGAGCGAAGAGGGGAAGAAACCAGGAACGAGCAACACAGAGAGGGAGAGAAGGAGAGAGGGGAGGAGGAGGAGGAGGAGAGAGGGGGAGAGAAAGAGGGAGAGAAAGAGAGAGAGAGAGAGGAGAGGGAGAGGAGAGAGAGAGAGAGAGAGAGAAAAAAAGAGACAAGAGAGGAAGAGAGACAGAGGGAGAGAGTCAATCAACAGTCGCCACCTTAGCCCAACTGTGAAGCCATTCAGTGGCGAGTGCGACACCGACAACAACAACAACAACAACAGCAACAACAGCAGCAACGACAACAACAACAGCAGCAACAGCTGGAGAGACCCTTTAAAGACCCTGCACTTTGGGAGTTGGGAAGCCGAAGGGGGGGAGAGAGAGAGGGGGGGAGAGGGGGAGAGAGGACAGACAGACAGTCCAGGAGAGGGAGAAGGAGAGAGAGAAGAGGAGAAGGGGAGAGAGAGAGGGGGGAGAGAGGGGGGAGAGGGAGAGAGGACAGACAGACAGACCAGGAGAGGGAGAAGGAGAGAGAGAAGAGGAGAAGGGGAGAGAGAGAGGGGGGAGAGAGGGAGAGAGGACAGACAGACAGTCCAGGAGAGGGAGAAGGGGAGAGAGAGAGGAGAGAGGGGAGAGAGAGAGGAGAGAGGGGGGAGGGGGGGTGTGAGGGTGGCCGCCGGGGGGTGGAAGGCTCGCCCCAGCCCCGGGGACATGGCTCTCAGTGGGGGGGGGAGTGCCGGGCTCTGCAGACACCCGCCAGGGAGTCCCACCCCACCCCCCCCAGCCCCAGCCCCAGCCCCAGCCCCACCCGGGGGGCACCAGCAGCCCCCACCCCCCTCCCCCCCACCCGGGGGGCAGCTCTCTGCCGGACGTGGTGGAGCTGAACGTGGGGGGACAGGTGTACTTCACGCGGCTCTGCACACTGACCAGTTCGCCCAACTCGGTGCTGGGTCGGATGTTTGGGGGCCACCGGCGGGGTGGGGGTGGGGGGGTCCGCCCCCCCCGGGGGTGGGGGAGGGGGTGAGGGGGGGGTGAGCCCGGAGATGGCCCGGGACGGCCGCGGCCGCTTCTTCATCGACCGCGACGGCTTCTTGTTCCGCTACATCTTGGATTACCTGCGGGACCGCGCGGTGCTGTTACCGGAGCTCTTCCCGGAGAAGCAGCGGCTGCGGCGGGAGGCGGAGTACTTCCAACTGCCCGACCTGGTCCGGATGCTCAGCCCCGCGGAGGGGGGGGACCACCGGGGGGACCACCGGGACCACCACCACCACCGGGGGGGGAGCCCCGGGGGAGGGGTCCCGGACGAGACGGGGGCGACTCACAGCGACGACCCGGACGAGCTGTCGCAGGGCAGCGGCGACCCCCGGGGTGGGGGCGGGGGGGCAGGGGGTGGGGGGGGGAGGGGGCGCCGAGCGCAAGGCGGGGTTCATCACTCTGGGTTACCGGGGCCCGGGCCCCCCGGGGCGGGACGGGGTCCCGGGACCGGACCCCCGGCTGTTCCGGCGGGTGCCCCGGATCCTCGCCTGCGGGCGGGTCGGGCTCCTGCAGGAGGTCTTCGGCGACCACGTGAACGAGAGCCGCGACCCCGACCGGACCCCCGACCGGTACACCTCCCGGTTCTACCTCCGCCACCGGCAGCTGGAGCGCGCCTTCGACACCCTCGCCGACTCCGGCTTCAGCCTCCTGGGCAGCAACTGCAGCCTCAGCGGCCCCCCCGGGGCCACCGGGACCACCGGGGCTACCGGGACCGCCCCCGGGGCTACCGGGACCGAGGACCGCGCGTGGAGCAGCTACACCGAGTACCTCTTCTACCGTGAGTCAGTCCGACCCCCCACACCCCCCCCACTGCTGCTGCTGCTCTCATCTCTCCCCCTCTCCTCCTTCCTCCTCTCATCTCTCCCTCCCCTCTCCTCTCCTCTTTCCTCATCTCTCCCCCTCTCCTCTCTCCCCCTCCCTCTCCCCTCTCCCTCACTCCTCTCTCCCCCTCCCTCCCCTCTCCTCTCTCCCCTCCTCCCCTCTCCTCTCTCCCCTCCCTCCTCTCTCCCTCCCTCTCTCTCCCCCTCCCTCCCCTCTCCTCTCTCCCCCTCCCTCCCCTCTCCTCTCTCCCCCTCCCTCTCCTCTCTCCCTCCCTCTCTCTCCCCCTCTCACTCCCTCTCTCTCTCCCTCCCCCTCTCCCCTCTCTCCCCCCCTCCTCTCTCCCCCTCTCCTCTCTCCCCCTCCCTCCCTCTCTCTCCCCCTCCCTCCCCTCTCCTCTCTCCCCCTCCCTCCCCTCTCCTCTCTCCCCCTCCCTCCCTCTCCTCTCTCCCTCCTCCCCTCTCATCTCTCCCCCTCCCTCCCTCCCCTCTCCCTCTCCCCCCTCCCTCCCCTCTCCTCTCTCCCCCTCCCTCCCCTCCTCCTCTCTCCCCTCCCTCCCCTCTCCTCTCTCCCCCTCCCTCCCCTCTCCTCTCTCCCCTCCCTCCCCTCTCCTCTCTCCCCCTCCCTCCCCTCTCCTCTCTCCCCCTCCCTCCCCTCTCCTCTCTCCCCCTCCCTCCCTCCCCTCTCTTCCCCTCCACCCTCTCATCTCTCCCCTCTCCTCTCTCCCTCTGCCTACTCTCCTTCCCTCCCTCTCCTCTCTCTCTCCCTCCTCTCCCCCTCCCAGTCTGTATCCAGCAGCCCCCCCCCCCCCCCGACAACCAGCAATCACCCCCTCCCCCCACCTCTTATCTGTGTGTGTGTGTGTGTGTGACTGTACCTCACAGCCTCTCCCAACAGACTGTGTCCCGTACTCTGTACCCAACAGTCGTGTGTGTGTGTCTCTCACACTCTGTGCCCAACTCTCTCCACTCTGTGCCCAACTCTCTCCACTCTGTGCCCACCAAATGTGCCCCCCACCTATCTGAAGCCCGACACCGAACTGAACTGCGCCCACCCCCAATCCCCCACCCCAATCCCCCCACCCCCAATCCCCCACCCCCAATCCCCCACCCGCAATCCCCCCACCCCAATCCCCCACCCGCAATCCCTCCCACCCGCAATCCCCCACCCGCAATCCCCCCCCCCAATCCCCCACCCCCAATCCCTCCCACCCGCAATCCCCCACCCGCAATCCCCCCCCCCAATCCCCCACCCGCAATCCCCCCACCCCCAATCCCCCCCCCAATCCCCCACCCGCAATCCCTCCCACCCCCAATCCCTCCCACCCCCAATCCCTCCCACCCGCAATCCCCCCACCAAGGACCCAGAAAACTGGGAGCAAACCACTAACAGTCCATCGCGCCCACTAGTTTGTACCTGGTGCGAGCAACACTCCCACCCACCCCCTCCCCACACACACAGACACACACACACACACTCCCACCCCCTCCCCACACACACACACACACACACAACACAGTGTCTCTCATCAGAAGCCACCTGGAGTACACCTGTGTATACACAATTATTATTACTATTATTGTTATTACTGTAGAGATGGCGTGGAATAACACCTGAGCAATGTGAGGTTGCGAGGCCGGTCAGCGAGGCAGGTACAAGGCCTGGGACTGAAGGGTAGATCGCACGTTGTCTTATCTGTAACAGTTTATCTGCAATAATAACCCTTGCACTTGATCCAGAGCCTCATCACGGCTTCGAGACGCCTCAGAGCGCTTCACCGGATCCGCTGCAAAGCGAACTGACTGTACGTTTTGTGGGCTGTAAATCTGTTGCGTTGAAACGCTGGGTGTGTACGCACGAGGCAGCGAGTGAGGTGAAGCAGTTCAACATCTCCTGTACGGTGTGTCCTGTGAAGCGCTTTGAGACGTCACAAAGACGCGATAAGGCGCTGCATCAAATGCCGGGATTATCATTGTTAGGACGATTATGATTATTATTATTATTGATGTACATGCACACAATGTCGGACTGCCGCTCCCTCGGCCGCAGTAACTTCGGCGGGAAAAGAAACCTTGTGAGGGGCAGAGCAGCGAGTTGATTCTGTGCAGCAGTTAGCCCTTGTGTGTCAGTGAGATGCTGCTGTATGGCTCGGAGAATGGGCATCGAGTCACCCCACTGACAGTCTTTTATTACAGCAATTTCCTCTCATCAGCTCGGCTCGGCTCTGCTCAGCTCAGCTCAGCTCCGAGCCACTGTGAAGACTGACTCGCTGAAATATTAATAGCTTTTTACATCAAGATTGTGGTATATAATTCCGAGTGGCTCAATCTGCCAGCCTCACGCTGAGGGAGGGGAAGGAGTCTTGTTCGGGTTGAAGGACCAGGACTGCAGATGGTTAGTTGCACTCACTCGCGCCTCAAAGCATCAATGGGCTGGAGGTTGGGGCTGGGGTTTGGGGCTTGGGGTTGTGGTTTGGGGCTGGGGTTTGGGGCTTGGGGTTGTGGTTTGGGGCTGGGGTTTGGGGCTGGGGGTTGGGGTTGTGGTTTGGGGGTTGGGGCTGGGGTTTGGGGCTGGGGTTTGGGGCTGGGGTTTATGATCCTCCTGACGTGAAAGGTGTTATATAAGTGTACTTTTGTTGTTGTTGTGGTGGTTCCCAGAGGCTGATTAAGCAGCCCCTACCCATCACACACACACGCACGCACACACACACAAGGGGCTGATTGCAATCCAATCCCATCCTCCTTCTAAGTTGGATTGACTTTATCCAGGACCCAAAGTCGATCAGCAAAGCTGTCCTCAGCCTCTCTCGCTGCAAAACTGGTAACTGGTGCAAGTGGCTACTCACTGTATCTCCAACAGTGCAACTCAGCCAGATGTGGCCCGAGAACCTGCCTCAACCTACAGCAAGGGTCCAGCAATTGGGACGTGAATTGGGACTGAGAGAGAGGGGGGAGAATATATTATCAGGGCACGTTACCAACATTCAAGCATATGTTTTGTTGCCCCACGGGCTTACGAAGGAGGGAAGGAAAGCCAGGCAGAGTCATCGAGCCACACTGACCGTGGTTTGGAAGCAGATGTAGTTTAGCTTTTCCTGCTGGGAATGGTCTGGTGTGTGTGTGTGTGTGTGTGAGAGAGTGTGTGTTCTCTCTGATGGAAATGGTGTGCAATAAGTCTGCTTTCTGTTGGAAAAGATTCTGTGGTACCTGCTAGGAAATGGTAGGACACGCATGTGGTCTCGCCTCACCATTGGCGGGCGGGCTTTCAGCCTCTCTGCACCCCCACTCCCCACCCTCTGGAACTCCATCCCGCAGTCCCTCCGTCTCGGCCCCCCTCCCCCTCCCCCTCCCATCCTTCAAGACCCCGACCAGCGCCTTGGGACGTCTTCCTGACGCGAAAGGGGGCCGTGTAAACGTAACTTCTTGTTGGTGATGATGTTGTTGTCTCTGATGGGAAAATTGCGTGCTTTCTGCTGAGCGCTGAGCATTGACTCGGAGCCTGAAAATGATTCTTCGCCAGAGCAGCGCTCGCTCATTCAGCGAGAGCTCTGCCTCTGCGCTGCCTGATTATTTTACTGCTCACATTAGTGCAGTTTAAAGTGCTTTATCGATTGTTGACAACACGCTCGTCAGGAAGCTCATATTTCAGTGGCATTCAATGACTTATTCTCTAACCTCGTTCCGGAATGATTACCAATGAAACGCCCATTATCCCACTCCATTCAAGACGTCCTGAGTGTTGCTTTGCCGAGGAGCCCCAAAGCCCTTTGCGAGCCACTCGCAACCCAATGTTCTGCTAAAGTGTCAAGAGTAATTCAGAAGCCATCGCATTGCTTGGCTTCCCCCACCCCCACCCCCACCCCGATTCGTGAAGGAGAAATTACTGTATTAGTAACACTATACTTATTTGCAATGCTCAGGAAAATCGCATTCCATTGAAGCCTATTTCGGGCCATGCAATGTTTTATGACATTTCCATGGTAATTACTACCCAATAGTGAGATGCATTTGTGTCTCATTTAGCGGGTGCCATTGGCTTTCGAGCGGAAATGTGCTCCCAAGTTAAAGGAATCAATCAAACATTTGAATATTGTATTAGGTTGAATATTATTATCTTAAAAAAATATGAATTTGGTCACCCAATCCATTTCTGTTTGTGGGACACTGGCTGTGCGCAATTGGTTGCCATGTTTCGCCCACAAAATACACAGTTACTCCACTTTACACAGTGTATCCTGTGAAGCGCTTTGAGACGTCTCAACGAAGTAATCAGACTCTATATCAAATGCAAGGATTATTATTATTGTTATTATTATTCCATTATCATTCTCCTGGAAATAACCTTTATACAGGGTGACCAAAAAGTGATACCATTTATTTGAATAACAATAATTAATGATTAGCATCATTTCTTAATAATAATAATAATAATAATTCTTGCATTTGATATAGCGCTTTTCACGTTGGGAGGACGTCCCAAAGCGCTTCACAGAACACACTGTAAAGTGAATTGACTGTATATTTGTGGGCGAACGCGGCAGCCAATTGCGCACAGCAATGTCCCACAAACAGTCGTAGATTGAAAATGACCAATTTATTATTGTTTTTGGTTTGGGAGGGATTATTATTAGGGCTGTGTGGAGTAAGGAAACTTGCCCGAGGTTTCGCCCTCTGCCGGGAATTGAACTCAGGTCTCTCGCTTGCAAAGCGAGTGCTCTAACCCCTGAACTACAGGACTCCACATTTCTTTAAGGTTTAGCAGACACCGTGATGGGACCGCAACTTTATGGTCACCCCAATCTTGTAGCTTCTCTCAGAACAACTTCTGTCAGCACAGAGTAATCATCTTGTTATCATCTTCAGTCCAGAATGACTTAAAGGGAAACTTGCACATAGTTTGGTTCAGGGGAATGTTATGACTGGAGTTGAGTCGGTGGAAATCGATTTTAATTTGTTCCGA